TTGATTGTTTTTATTAAGATAATCCAACAAAAATCTTATATTAATACACCTCTTAATATTTAAATCAATTAAAATAAACAAATAATTATATCCCAATATCAGCCTGAAGGCCTTGTTTTTCTTGTATATTTAATTTAATAAAATTAATTAATTAAATTATTATCATTTTTAATTACGACTACTATTTAATTATTATTATTTTTATTTAATTATATTGAGTCTCGATCATGCTCCCGTTGAATACGGACGCGTTCCAACATCGTTGTGAAAGACTTTGCAGAAGCAATAAAAACGGACAAGCCCACTACAGTGGAAATAACAAACAACTTACTTGTGCGAAAACGTTTAAGCGCCCGGTACTCGTGAAACTAAGTGCCGCTCGCGAATCTAAGCGAATTTAATCTAACCTTCCCCATAACCATGCCCCACAGCCAACTGACGACCCTCATGTTTCTTGGCAGGACAGAGGAGCTCTTCCTCCTCCAAAGTCTCCCAAGTAGTCGAAACCCTTCTTTCGCAAACTACTATGCGCCACTCGCGGACACTGACGACCCAACTGCCGACGGTACCGAAGATATGGACCTCAGCCCTCACAAGGAGTGTAATGAATCCCCTATAACCAAACCAAACCAAAACCCTCTGCCTACTCCAATCATCATACCCGGGGTAAACGACATCACAATGTTCTGGTCAATGTTGGATACGTTGGCAAGCCCCGAAAATTACCGTATAAAAATAAGCACTGGAGGACAAGCACTAGACTCCTATGCAACGACTCAACCACTTACCGCAAAATCGCATCCGCGTTGATGGCTAAAGGCGTTCTCTGTCATAGCTACCAGTTGAAAGAAGAACGGTCATATAGAGTAAAAACCCAACTGAAAAACCCAAACCTATTTGGAAGATCACATCCAACTTAACGAGAGATTCGAGTCTCAGGAAGACATTGACGCGGCTGTACGCTCGCTTAATAGCCTCATCCAGGAAGCAGCTCTCTCCGCAGAACCACCCACGTCCGAGGAGCGCTCGACCCGACCTGCTGCATCACCTGACCCTCCCATCGAAAACCTTGTGCGTATCAAGAGAAGACTAAGGAAAGCTTTCATAAGAACTCACGACCCAGACACTAAAGCTCAGATGCACAGAGCGGGCAGAAACTTAAAAAGGGCCCTCGCTGAGAAAAGCAGCAAACGCTTCGACGAAATGCTAAAAAGCCAGGTCAATCTCTGGAAACTCACCCGTGGCATCAAGAGGCAGCCACTGTGCAGCTTTCCATTAAGAAACGACAACGGTACCTGGGTGAAGTCTGACTTGGAAAAAGCAGAAGCGTTCGCTAGAAATTTAGAGACCAGATTCACTCCAGCCGATGTAGCACCTCAAGATCACACGCGAGCACTCTCCTGGTACCTAGAAGCGCCCCTACAGATGTCGATACCAACCAAGCCAGTTTCACCTTCTGAAGGCCAAGCGGAAATAAAAGCTCTTGTGAACAACAAAGCTCCTGGGCACGATTTAATAGATGCCCGCATCGCAAAACCGCTCCCACGCAAGGGAGCTATGTTTCTAGTTGCACTCTACAACGCCATCCTTCGCATCGGCCACTTCCCCACCCAATGGAAGTGTGCAATGATTGTGATGATACTAAAGCCAGGTAAACCAACGTCAACCCTAGAGTCATACAGACCAATAAGCATACTGCCAGTTTTCTCCAAGATATTCGAAAGAACATTCTTGAGCAGAATGGTGGCAGAAAGCTCCGTCAAGGAAGCTATTCCACAGCACCAATTCGGTTTCAGAAGACAGCACGGGACTCCGGAACAAGTACACAGAGTGGCTCAACACATCCTCAACGCTTATGAAACTAAGCAATACTGTTCAGGGGTGTTTCTCGATGTGAAACAAGCTTTCGACAAAGTCTGGCACAAGGGACTTTTATATAAATTAAAGATTATACTACCCGCCCCCCAGTATTCAGTCATAAAGTCATTTTTGGGAGAAAGAACGTTTATTGTCACAATCAAGGTCGCTATTTCAGACATAAAAATTATCAGAGCTGGAGTTCCACAAGGCAGCGTCCTTGGGCCAATCCTGTACACATTGTTTACACGCGACATGCCGTTACCGCACGTCAACCCAAGCAACTTCCTGGTCGCCACTTACGCTGACGATACTGCTATTCTTTCATCATCCACCTGCTACAGAGCCGTTGCTGAACAACTTCAAATCTACCTCGAATCCGTGGAAAAATGGGCAAAAAAATGGAACATCACAATTAGCGAAACAAAGTCAGTTAACGTAAATTTTACTCTAAGAAGCAAGCACCCACCAGACCTAACCTTCAACGGAAATATAATTCCGCGCAAGAGCAGTCACTGCTACCTCGGTGTCCACTTCGATAAAAGCCTAACTTGGGGACCGCATATCAGAGCTACAGTCATCAAATGTCAAAACAAACTCAAAAAGTTTCACTGGCTCATGAACTCAAAAACTAAGCTTCCCCTACGCAACAAAGTCCTATTGAACAAGGCAACTATAGTCCCTACATGGATATATGCCATTCAAGTCTGGGGATGTGCATCGAAGACGCATCTGAATAAAATCAGAGGTTTGTTCGGACCACAATGCTGGAAAGAGATCTCCTCATCCCAAAAATTGGAGATCAAATAAACCATCACAGCAGTCGATACAACGATAGGCTCATTAACCATCCAAATGAAACAGCTAGAGGATTACTGCACCCCCAAATCCCACGCAGACTCAAACGTCTCCACCCATCGAACATAAAAAATAGAAAAATTTGCTGAATAACACATCATTAAAATGTATATATAAACCTAATCATTAAACTCTAATAAAAATATGTAGTAAGCCAATGTAAATATCACTAATATTAGATCATAGTTTAAGTAAAGCTGATTTCTAATAAAATAAAAAAAAAAATTTAATTATTATTTTTATTTAATTATTATTATTCTTTTATTATGGTTATTATTAATTACTATTATTTTTTAATTATTCTTATTATTTAATTATTATAATTATTTAATTATAATTATTATTATTTAATTTTATTATTATAAATTATATAATTATATATTATTAATATTTTAACGTTTTATTAATCTTAGTCGTCAATTTTATGAATAAATAAATAAATATTATAATATATATAATAAATACTACCAGAGCAGTATAGCTTATATAGTAACAATCTCTTTCTTTCTGGAAAGAACTCTTTTGTTTCTAAAGATATTTCTACAACAGATAAAATCTGACAGGGTATGTCCATTCTTCACCTCAAAATCTAGTGTCTCTCTCATTGTTTTCCTGCATTTTTCCCAAGGTCTTACCTTAGTTTTTTGTTCAACTATTAATTTGCATAATTATCGTTTCAGCATTTAAGTTCAGTTTTAGACTCTTTTGTGCACACAAACACAAGGATTTAGTACCCCATCCCAAAGACACACCCAAAAAGATTCAAAGGACACAAACAGATACGCCTCCGCCTTCGCCCCCGCCTTCGCCTTTCGCTGGGCAAACAAACTTTTAAATTCCATTAAGTGCCAATAAATTTTGCAACTGATATAGCCGGACGTCCGCCCTCTGGCGGTCATTTTCTGGTTGCCCAAGCAACTTAAAGCTATAGCTTCAGGTGTTTAATTAGGCGCAGCAGCTAATTAAGGCCGTCCCAAGAAGTTCTTTTACCTTAAAGTTATGAGCAGAGATCTGGAGATAGTTTGGAAAAAGGAAAAAGTAAAGAAAGTGAGCGGGCAGCTAATGAGGGCTGCTGCTAATGTTGGAAAATTGCAGGAAAATGAGCTGCTTTTGCAGCGAAATACACGACCCATTTAGACTTTGTTAAATATTAAAATCAAATCAAATTGCTCAAAAAAAAAAACACACACAGAAAACAACCCCAAGTGAAAGTTTAAACTAAGTTAAACAAATCCTTAATCAGTCTTAATTTAGGTTGAACTTTGGACCTCCCCATGGTCCCCACCTGTCCCAAGCCGAAGAAAACCTTCCAAAGCAATCAGAGCACAAAAAACAGCTCAGCCCAGACGACTCTCAGTCTTAACCTCAACGAATGTGCGGCTAATGTATGCATGACAGACGGACAGACAGAATGGATGGCTGAGACCCAAGGTTATCTGCATGATTAACGAGTTTCGAGGTTGAGGTGCAAAAAAAAATTAAATAAACTTTCCAGACATTATAAGAAATTCTGGCCAAAGGCCAAATTGAATTCGAAATCAGTAGAATTCCGACCCCAAAAGAAGGTATCCACACTCACATGTGACTGGCAATTCGATGTTCAAGTGTGACTCGCTATTTGACCTTCAGGCGTCACTTTTACACGTGTAACGTTTACACGTGACTGCCAAATTGACGTTTATACGTGACTGGTGACTATTCGAAAGTTAACATGTGACTGGCAATTCGACATTCACATGTGACTGACTGATTTAACGTTCACGCGTGACTTGAAATGTTACGTTTTACAAGGGAATATCCACGTAACGTTTACACGTGACTCCCACTGTGACGTTTTCACGTGACTGGCAGTTCGTCAATTAGACGTTTTCGTGTGAGTGACGATTTGAAAGTGCACATGTGACTCGCAATGCGACATTCATGTGTGACTGCAATTTTTTTACGTTCACATGTGACTGTCCATTCGACAAAAATTTAAAAATTTTACATTGACACGGGACTGGAAATTCGACTTTTCCGTGTGGCTGATAATTCCACGTTCTTAACGTTTACACGTGACTGCCAATTGGACGCTTACACGTGACAGGCATTGCAACAATCGAATAGCATTTCCAAATTCAGTTTGACTGAAACACTTGATTAACTGAATTTCTCAACTCATTTCCAAAATAAAATTCGAAAATTCGAAAATTTACCATTGAAAAAGTACTCTAAAAGAATATACAAATCAGAAGTAGATACAAAATCGTGTAGTACACTCAGATACACCTATTGAAACAACGAAAAATTTCTCTAGTTAATAATTATTATTTTTTTCTTTTCCGAATTCGAACAAATTTTCGTAGAGAGGAACGATGAGTGCGGACGAAGGCAAAGCGAAGCCCAGCGTGTACGAGCATCTGATGCATCACAGCATCAAGCGTCAGTTCGAGCGGAATGGCACAATGTCGGCCCTGCGCAGTGGAGTGCATGTGAAAGTCCTCAAGATGATCAAGACGAATCTAGGCGGCAGCAAAGATGAGCCTTTGGCGGGGCCTGGGGTAGCCCTAGGCCATGATTCATTCAAGGAGAATGGTCTATCGAGTCTCATCAACCAACTGATGATGGAGTACTTTGAATGGTTCGGCTATAGGCATACAATGGAAACATTTAAGATGGAGACGGGTGAGAAGATCCTACCACGCCAGGAGATCGAAGAGCGACTGGCCGGGAAATTCCAATTGAAGGATGTTCCCATTTTGGTGCAATTAGTATTACGAAATCAGGATAGTCCTCCGAAGAAGAACTTAAAAGTGACCCCAAAGAAGATTGTGAAGCTCCCACTGCCAGTAGCAAAGAAGACGATGAAGCGCCAACTGCCAGAGAAAGCCATGAGGCACCTAATTCCAGAGAAGTCCGTGAAGCAGCAGCTGTCAGAGAAATCCGTAAAGCAGAAACTGCCAGAGAAGTCCGGGAAGCCCAAACTAGCAGAGAAGCCCGTGAAGCAGCAACTGCCAGACAAGTCCGGAAAGCAGCAACTGCCAGAGATTTCTGGACGCAAGATCCAACTCCCCGAGATATCTGGACGTAGGCTACAACTCCCTGAGAATTCCATACCCGAACGTTGCCCCAAACTGAAGGAAAAGCTCGAGACTCTGCGAACCCTGAAGGAAACGGCCAAAACGGATTGGAATATTCCTGTTTCGAAATTGGTGCAAAACAATCGAAAACTCACTCAAGGCCAGATCAAAAAGCCCGACACCGTTGTCAAGACTCAAATGAAAGAGAATCAAAAGGCATCTTTTGCAACTCCTCGAAAGGAGACGCCGGAGAGTAGGCCCCCCGTCAATAGCTCAGAGTCGGATGAGCTTCCCAGCTACGATGAGCATAGCGATGCCTCATCCGATATACCCGATAGGCACTACTACGTCGAGGAGGAGCCACCGGAGGTCAGCTACGCCCCAGGACATGGCGAAGAGGGGCCCTACATTGACAAGCAGAACAAGGCCGAGACGCTCTACCAGCAGTATCAGGATGAGAAACCTATCGACACATCGAAAGGGATGAACAAACAGAAATCGATAGCTTCCAAGCATCCGCCATCGAAAAAATCAGCGCTAACAACCATCAAGAAATCAGCCATCAAAAGTAAGGCTTTCGATGTTCCCGAGTTTATTGTCACGATGACATCAAGGAACAAAGCCCGCGACGGCCTGGATCTGAACAAATCGATGAGCTGCAAGAACAGATCCCCTGGTCAGAGTACCCCCGGTAGGAGTCCGCTCTGGAACAAGATGCCCGTCGAGGGGGACGAGCCCAGTCTGGCAGTGACCAAGCCCCAGTGTCCGGAGACCCACATCAATGGCATTGATCTGGACAGCAGCTCAGAGAACAACGAGTCCAGCGATGAGGATGCTGCCGGAGATGGTTACCACAACGACGACGACAATACTAGCAGCGATGAGGATGATTAATTCCCATGCAGATGCCACAACACTGGAGACTCCTCTTTTATACCAAATTTTTAAATTGTTCTTCTGGATTTCATTTTGGATCTACGATCAAATTAATAAATTCGAATGGTACAAATTTAATGGTATTTTATTGGAATTTTTCTAGTCTATTGTAGTATTTTATTGAGTTTTCTTATAGTTTGTGGTATTCATTTAGTATTTTGGTGTATGGTATTTAATATTTATCTGGAATTTTGATCGTATTTTTTCGGGTATCATTATTGTATTTATTAGTATAAGTATTTATCTGTTAATTTTGTGGTATTTATATAGTACTTTCAGTGTTTTATGGAATTTATTTAGCATTTTACTGGCATTTATTATCAGGTATTTTTGAAATATTTATCTAATAATTAATTAGTATTTATCCGGTATTTATTTCGTATTTTTCTGGTATTTATTTAGTATTCATCTGGTAGTTATTTAGTATTTATCTGTTTTTTATAGTGTTTTTTTCTAGTACGATTATGGTATTTATCTGGTATTTGTGTAGTATTTATCCGGTATCTATTTATTATTTAGGTATTTTTGGAGTATTTTTCGGGTATTTATTTAATATTTATCTGGTATTTTTATAGTATTTTTATTTTGTATTTATCTGGTTTTTTTGTATTTTTACTTGAACTTTGTGATATTTTCTAGTATTTTGCTGGTATTTATTGGAAATGTTGTGCCTATGATATCTTTAGCTTTACTCTAGAGTCTTATGCCATCTCCCAGCCCACTTCTAAACAGGTTCACGTCTCACTCTCAACTCCAGCGCCACTCAGTTCTATTCTCAGTTCCTACTACCTTCAAATTGTGTATCGACCAACCCTCCTTGGACGACCCTTGTAGCACTGCTCATTTCACGTGTCAAACACAATGGCCCCACAAGGAACTCCCCCACTCGGTCCGGCCCATCTCTATCTCAATGTGAGTCAAAGCCCATAGGGCGCACCTTCATCCTTTCAACATCTGCATAAAATCAATCAAATTTAGTGAAATGCTTAAGAGGTTGACGAACGGATATCCCCAGCACCAGTGGATAGGCCTAATTAATTGATGGACGATGTCCTTGCTGGCCTCCGTCTCCAACTCCAGCTTGGATCCCTGCCCTTTCTGGGGTTTTGTTGCAACAGTTGCAACTGTCATAATATCGACTCATTGCTGGATGTAATTAATGGTGTTAAGACTCGCACGCCATTTTAATGCAATCCAATTGACAGGCAGCATCCGTTTTGCGTTACTGCATTTCCTCCAGTCCCGACACCTCCCCCTTCCCCCCTTCAATCATTGAAGCCATCTGGGGGATATTGATTTCAATTATAATGATGTAACACAATGGCCAATGGAACCCCAAAGGCATGTTAACTAATTGTTAACCTACCGGTTTGCTGTTGCGAATATTAAACACTCGTAGTACCCGGTAGGAGCGGCGTACTAGAGGAAACTCCAGCCAATATAAATTAATTGAATCGAAAGGAAATAGATTCTTATCGGGCGATTAATGTTGAATGGCAGGCAGAAGTTTGTGATTGGAATTGTTGCTTAATAGTTAAGGATATATGTATGTATTGAGTTTCAGATTTAAGGGAGCGATAGTGTTGAGATACTTTCGATGTGCGTTATTCTACTTTCAGTGCGATATTATTTTTGAGAACGGATTTATTCATTTAGTTTTTTCCTAATAAGTTAATCAGAAGAAAATCCTTTCATAAAACACCAGAAAACTACTATAAAATACTAGAAACATACCAGAAAATACACTAATGCATCAGATAATACTAGAAACCAAACGGAAAACATAATAATTTATAAGAAAATACTGGAAAAATACCAGAAAATAAAATAATGCATCCGAAAATACTAAAAACGAAACGGAAGATATTAAAAACAAGCCAGAAAATTCTATAAAAATACCAAAAAATACTAGAAAACACAAGAAAGTTCTAGAAACACGCAGGAAAATACTTAAGATACCAAAAAACTTAGAAAATACCGAAAACACTGGAAAATACCACAATACAAAAAAATACCAAATTAAATCTGGAAAATACCAAAACTAGTAGAAAATAACAGAAAACCATAGAAAATATTACCAAATAGAAAATACCAGAATATAATAAAACCAATCCAGAAAATACTAAAAACGAAACGGAAGATATTAAAAACAAGCCAGAAAATTATATAAAAACACTAGAAAACAGAAAGAAGTTCTAGAAACACAAAAAATACCAGAACTACTAGAAAAAAACTATGAAATACCAGAAAATAGTATTAAAAAACGGAAATTCTATAACAATATCAAAAAATACTTTAAACATACCAAAACATACTATAAACATACCAAAACATACTCTAAACATACCAAAAATACTATAAAAATACCAAAAAAATTCTATACTACATCCCAAAGAATACTAAAAACACAAGATATATAAAATAATGGAAAATACATAAAAATACCAGAAAATAAAAGAAAAAACATTGAATATACTATAAACATATCTGAAAACTCTTTTAAAATAACCATAAAATTCTCCAATATATGAGAAAAAACTAGTTCCTCAGACATTAGCATTCCCAAAACATCAGCTCCCTTTCCACGCCACCAACCCCATCAAAAACTCCATCAAAACGCACTGAGGAGGGACTCCAAAATATGGCCAAAACATGACCTGGCTGCCAGCAATAAACGTTAGCCAACTGGTGCCACGATAAATACATGGACGAGTGCGTTATATGCTAAATACATACGAGTACGTACGTATTCGGGGTATATGTATGTATGTATGTGCATATATCCATGTCATATCAATAACCTGTCTCCCCCCCAGTGCACACCACACGACGAACGGAGGAAAAATGCAATTTTAATTAGGCAAACGTGCGACAAACGCACGTAGAAGGCATAACCACAAGATGGCGCTGCAATTAGGCGAAACGAACCCATCAGGAACGTTACCAGAATGACTCCACCCTCTGGTCGCACACAGTCTGTGGCAGTCCTCCCCCTCTGATCACACTCTGGCCGTCGTGTCCTCCGATCTGTCCTTCTTCTGGCCCCAGTCACTCCGTCATCGACTACGTGCTGCTCTGCCAAACAAAATTATGTGGCCAAATGTTCGCGGATTCCGGGAAACAAGCACTGAAAAGCGGGGACAGGACACGTGGGGGACAAGCAGTGGGTGGCACAGTGACCCCTCTCTGGGGGCTATTTCCAAATTACTTTATCGATTTGCCTGGTACATTTGTACAATTTGGCTTGTTGCATACATTACCCGCTGAATGGGGCCTGGGGATGGGGATGGGGATGGGGATGCTGACCTCCTGGATGACCACGCTAACGAGCCTCATTAGTGGCATGCGTGGCGCATTGGTGGCATCTCTGTGGCTCTCATTCTCTTGGCTCCACTCCGCTGACATGTGGAATCTGCCTCGAACGTGATTTCTTATGGAGGAATCAAACGCAAGCGGCAGCGACGACAGCAGATGATGGAAGATTGAAGCACAATCAGATTGAAGGGATCATTATCTTGCGGAAAAGGATGCTTTTTTGCAGACAAATTTTCATTGGATAAAAAAGGAAATTTAAGTCAAACTTTACAGAAAATAATTTCCTATTTCCAGTGGCTTCAAAAAACATGGTTAAAATCAAACAAAAACCCTCACAATTTAAGTACAAATAAACTTGGAATTATACCCGTTTAAGGCCCAAATTCCGTTTATGCTTAGCCTTTCTTCTAGTTCTGGAACCACAAAATGATGGCTCCGAAACTTTTGGCCACACAATAAAATTGCTGTAAACAAAACTATAAGCTAAACTAATTTTCCATAAGCTTTTTCCGCCCCAAATGCTAAAACCGCAAATCATTGACTCGTCCCACAAATATTTCACATACGCCAATGTGTGTTTCTGCTCTCGAAATTCATTTAAAAGGCATCTTCCTGCCCGACTTGAGGGATTATTTTATTTGCTGGGCTTCATTTTATTGTTGGAAAAAGCGTCGAAATAAATGACGAAAAGTTCTCGTAATTTATTGAATTTATTTACTCTTTTTGGTTATTATTTTGCTGGAAATTCTTAATTCGATTTATTTGGAGTTGATTTTAAGAGGGTTTTCCTTACTTAAAGATTAGTTTTAAAGGCTTAAATGCTGATGACTTGGCAGATTTAATGGGTTTTTGTGGAAACGTTAAGGTACAGTTTTTTAAGCTTATTTATGGCTGTAGAATCGAATATTTTCTAGGAACAAACATCAATGACTGGTTGGAAAATTCTGCAAACAACTCCCCATAATGGCCCACACAAACACAAACAGGGGCATGCCACACCTCGTATGTATAAGTACAGTCTGTCACATAACGACAGCGCCACTGAAGCAGAAAACTCGTATTTTAGTGAATTTTAATGCGAAAGCCATTTGAAAAGTTTTGCTTTCAAACCCCCAAAAAACAGAAAAACTTCCAGCAATAGAGAGACATCTTTTGCAGCAGTGGGGGGTGGGTGGGGGCGTGTGCATGGGCGTGGTGGGTGCTTATGTGGGTGGCTGATTAGGCTTTTGCCTTCTACCCCCAAAACATTCTTGAGGCTTTCCGTCTGTTTGGAGTTGATTGAAATAATTGTCGACTCTGCTGCGCGCTTTATGGAAAATGTGCGAGGTGGGGGACGAGTGAAAAGCGCTGAAAATAAGCTTATGAATAGCCAAATGTGTAGATTGGGAAATAAATGGAAAAGGCAGCAACGCACAAGCCTGTTCGTGACAGGTGGGGTATAAATTTCAATATAAATAGAAATAAATAATAAATAGAAAATTAAAACTAGAAAACGAAAACCGCTTCTCAGGCTTAGTAGTTTTCCCCTGGAAAAGCCCTGTTCAGCAAGCATTCGATATTTTAAGCTAAATTTAAAGAGATTTCTGCCACATCACATCACATGTCATACGAGTATATTTGTCATTCAATTGGAATTTGCTGTCAGGGCAGCCTTTTTTGTTAACCAAACAAAAATTCAGTTCACACTTGCATAAAATTCAGTCTAAATTCTATAATAAATTCATTAATACCATTATATTTTGTATAATTGATCAATTT